CTACATAATGATCAAAGGATAAATCCAACAAGAAGATATAACAATTGTAAATATTTATGCACCCAACATAGGAGCACCTCAATACATAAGGCAAATACTAACAGCCATGAAAGGGGAAATCAACAGCAACACAATCATAATAGGGGACTTTAACACCCCACTTTCACCAATGGACAGATCATCCAAAATGAAAGCAAATAAGGAAACATAAGCTTTAAAAGATATATTAAACAAGATGGACTTAATTAACATTTATAGGACATTCCATCCAAAAACAACAGAATAAACTTTCTTCTCAAGTGCTCATGGAACATTCTCCAGGACAGATCATATCTTGGGTCAAATCAAGCCTTGGTAAATTTAAGAAAATTGAAATTGTATCAAGTATCTTTCCCGACCACAATGCTGTGAGACTAGATATCAACTGCAGGAAAAAAATCTGTAAAAAATACAAACACATGTAGGCTAAACAATACACTACTTAATAACGAAGACATCACTGAAGAATTCAAAGAGGAAATAAAAAACTATGTAGAAACAAAGGACAATGAAAACACAATGACCCAAAACCTATGGGATGCAGCAAAAGCAGTCCTAAGAAGGAAGTTTATAGCAATACAATCCTACATTAAGAAACAAGAAACATCTCAAATAAGCAACCTAACCTTACACCTAAAGCAATTAGAGAAAGAAGAACCAAAAAAACCCCAGAATTAGCAGAAAGAAAGAAATCATAAACATCAGACCAGAAATAAATGAAAAAGAAATGAGGGAAACGATTGCAGAGATCAATGAAACTAGAAGCTGGTTCTTCAAGAAAATAAACAAAATTGATAAACCATTAGCCAGACTCATCAAGAAAAAAAGGGAGAAGACTCAAATCAACAAAATTAGAAATGAAAAAGGAGAAGTAACAACTGACACTGCAGAAATACAAAGGGTCGTGAGAGATTACTACAAGCAGCTATATGCCAATAAAATGGACAACCTGGAAGAAATGGACAAATTCTTAGAAATGCACAACCTTCCAAGCCTGAACTGGGAAGAAATAGAAAATATGAACAGACAAATCACAAGCACTGAAATTGAAACTGTGATTAAAAATCTTCCAACAAACAAAAACCCAGAACCAGATGGTTTCACAGGCGAATTCTATCAAACATTTAGAGAAGAGCTAACACCTATTCTTCTCAAACTCTTCCAAAATATAGCAGAGGGAGGAACACTCCCAAACTCATTCTACGAGGCCACCATTCCCCCGATACCAAAACCAGACAAGGATGTCACAAAGAAAGAAAACTACAGGCCAATATCACTGATGAACATAGATGCAAAAATCCTCAACAAAATACTAGCAAACAGAATCCAACAGCACATTAAACAGATCATACACCATGATCAAGTGGGGTTTATTCCAGGAATGCAAGGATTCTTCTATATACGCAAATCAATCAACGTGATACACCGTATTAACAAATTGAAGGAGAAAGACCATATAATCATCTCAATAGATGCAAAGAAAGCTTTTGACAAGATTCAACACCCATTTATGATAAAAACCCTTCATAAAGTAGGCATAGAGGGAACTTTCCTCAACATAATAAAGGCCATATATGACAAGCCCACAGCCAACATCATCCTCAATGGTGAAAAACTGAAAGCATTTCCGCTAAGATCAGGAACAAGACAAGGTTGCCCACTCTCACCACTCTTATTCAACATAGTTTTGGAAGTTTTAGCCACAGCAATCAGAGAAGAAAAGGAAATGAAAGGAATCCAAATCAGAAAAGAAGAAGTAAAGCTGTCACTGTTTGCAGATGACATGATACTCTACATAGAGAATCCTAAAGATGCTACCAGAAAACTACTAGAGCTAATCAATGAATTTGGTAAAATAGTATGGTACAAAATTAATGCACAGAAATCTCTGGCATTCCTATACACTAATGATGAAAAATCTGAAAGTGAAATCAAGAAAACACACCCATTTACCACTGCAACGAAAAGAATAAAATATCTAGGAAGAAACCTACCCAAGGAGACAGAAGACCTGTATGCAGAAAATTATAAGACACTGATGAAAGAAATTAAAGATGATACAAATAGATGGAGAGATATACCATGTTCTTGGATTGGAAGAATCAACATTGTGAAAATGACTACTACCCAAAGCAATCTACAGATTCAATGCAATCCCTATCAAACTACCACTGGCATTTTTCACAGAAGTAGAACAAAAAATTTCACAATTTTTATGAAAACACAAAAGACCCCGAAAAGGCAAAGCAATCTTGAGAATGAAAAACGGAGCTGGAGGAATCAGCCTCCCTGACTTCAGACTATACTACAAAGCTACAACGTAGCTTACTACAAAGTAATTAAGACAGTACAGTACTGGCACAAAAACAGAAAGATAGATCAATGGAACAGGATAGAAAGCCCAGAGATAAACCCATGCACATATGGTCACCTTATCTTTGATAAAGGAGGCAGGAATGTACAGTGGAGAAAGGACAGCCTCTTCAATAAGTGTTGCTGGGAAAACTGGACAGGTACATGTAAAAGAATGAGATTAGATCACTCCCTAACACCATACACAAAAATAAGCTCAAAATGGATTAAAGACCTAAATGTAAGGCCAGAAACTATCAAACTCTTAGAGGAAAACATAGGCAGAACACTCTATGACATAAATCACAGCAAGATCCTTTTTGAACCACCTCCTAGAGGAATGGAAATAAAAACAAAAATAAACAAATGGGACCTAATGCAACTTCAAAGCTTTTGCACAGCAAAGGAAACCACAAACAAGACCAAATGACAACCCTCAGAATGGGAGAAAATATTTGCAAATGAAGCAACTGACAAAGGATTAATCTCCAAAATTTACAAGCAGCTCATGCAGCTCAATAACAAAAAAACAAACAACCCAATCCAAAAATGGGCAGAAGACCTAAATAGACATTTCTCCCAAGAAGATATACAGATCGCCAACATACATATGAAAGAATGCTCAACATCATTAATCATTAGAGAAATGCAAATCAAAAGTACAATGAGATATCATCTCTCACCAGTCAGAATGGCCATCATCAAAAAATCTACAAACAATAAATGCCAGACAGGGTGTGGAGAAAAGGGAACCCTCTTGCCCTGTTGGTGGCAATGTAAATTGATACATCCACGGTGGAGAACAGTATGGAGGTTCCTTAAAAAACTAAAAATAGAAGTACCATACGAGCCAGCAATCCCACTACTGGGCATATACCCTGAGAAAACCGTAATTCTAAAAGAGTCATGTACCACAATGTTCACTGCAGCTCTATGTACAATAGCCAGGACATTGAAGCAACCTAAGTGTCCATCAGCAGATGAATGGATAAAGAAGATGTGGCACATATATACAATGGTATATTACTGAGTCCTAAGAAGAAACGAAATTGAGTTATTTGTAGTGAGATGGATGGACCTAGAGTCTGTCATACAGAGTGAAGTAAGTCAGAAAGAGAAAAACAAATACCGTATGCTAACACATATATGTGGAATCTATGGAAAAAAAAAAAGGTCATGAAGAACCTATGGGCAAGACGGGAATAAAGACACAGACCTACTAGAAAATGGACTCAAGGATATGGGGAGGGGGAAGGGTAAGCTGAGACAAAGTGAGAGAGTGACATGGATATATATACACTAGCAAACGTAAAGCAGATAGCTAGTGGGAAGCAGCCACATAGCACAGAGAGATCAGCTCGGTGCTTTTTGACCACCTAGAGGGGTGGGTTAGGGAGGGTGGGAAGGAGGGAGACGCAAGAGGGAAGAGATATGGGAACATATGTATATGTATAACTGATTCACTCTGTTATAAAGCAGAAACTAACACAGCATTGTAAAGCAATTATACTCCAGTAAAGATGCTTAAAAAAAAAAAAAAAAAAGCTTGTCAGACAGACTGCAAGTGAAGGAGAATGACATTATTAATGACAGCCTTGCTTAATATTTTACTCTGAGTTATATAATGTTTGACATAATAAAAATAAATTTAAAAAATGTAAAACCCTAAAAAAACTGGAAAGCAAAATTTAAAAAACGAATCCAACTTTGTATTAAATTCATGATAGGATGACACCAAGAGAAAATTTTTTCAGATGAATTTTAAAATATACTAATTTGACTGCACATCCAAAATGAAATATATCCTAATGAAAAAATTAACTGAAGAAAAAACTTCTCAGTTGTTATTAACACTACTGGCACTGTTATTCTGAACCTTTTTATATATACATACAAATACAGATAGCATAAAGCAAATAGGTAATTATGTTAATGTTGACAGAAACCAAGACTTTCAGCTGAAATGATACAAATGCTTAACTTCAAATATAAAGCCCTTTAATCCTAAATTTGAGTATTAATATGAATTCATGTTGCATTTTCTCTTCAAAAATAGAAGAAACAAATAAAAATGTATTTCTTAGCTCTGAAAAGTCCTAGAAGTAAAGAAGAATCAATCAGTATGACTGAGCACCCTGAGCAATCAGATAATGGTTTCTAAATACGATTTCTCACCAAAAGCACTCAGGACTTCTTGAAAAAATGGCTGATTCCAAGTCTGAAGCAGGAAATGTACAAGATGAGTCTGAAACATCTTGTCATACTAGAAAGCAAGGAAGCTATGAAAGATGAAGAGAGTCACATCAAAAGGACTTAGGAGACAGCCTGAAGTGGCTTCCAATGGCTAAAGATGGGATAATCTGAGCATCAATAATAACTGCAGTAAACTTTAGCATCAAATATGTTAAATATCTGTTTGTAATAATACTTGAAAAAAAAAACAGGAAAGAAACCTCACTAGTTACCTTTTTAGGATGCCAGGGAATCAACACATTATTCTGAAAAAGTGTAAATGATGGGGAAAAAACAATCAAGCATTCAACATACCTTCATGTCAAAATATACCACTCTATACTAAAACATTAAAGGAACAAATAAAAAGTACGTACCTTATATCTTTTCAATTTCTGTACTTCTTCTTCAATAAGCATCTGATTTTTGGCAACCTCTGACTGAATAGCACTTAACATGTTATTACCCTGATCTGTATCCATGGGTTCCTCCTTAGGAGAAAGAAAAAGAAATACCACACCCTAATGACTGAGGCTTAAGTCTAAACTATTTTTAAATGATAAACAGAGTACAATCATTTTCAAATTTTATTCTTAATATTGGTGATGGAATACCAGCTTACTAAGTGCAATATTAAAGGATAAAAGCTAGGTAGTATCTTCCAATTTTCTATGTTCTACAACAATACATATGAATTTTAATCTAAAAACAATCTATACTGTAGCAAACTGAATTGCTATAATCTGCTGTTGAGCTATAAAGTAAATCTGCTTAAATATACTCATGAAAATGTGATCAAAGGAATGCAAAAAAAAGTCTTCGTCCATTACTAATTCTCTTCTCCAATCATATTTACTAGAAAGATAATCATCATAAGGAATAGTAAAGATTACATGTGAATCTAAATGTGCCCAATTAATTCTGTAGGAAATATATTCTAACTTGTTTAATTATATAATGAAACTACAGTAAATTGTTAACACTTATTTAGCACATACTATTTGTCAGTCACTTTTTTTTAAGTGGTTTATATATACGTTATCTCAGTTATTCTTCACAACCACCTTTTAAGGTAAATACTATTATCCCTACTTTACATAAAGAAACTGAGGCACAAAGAAATACACTCAAATCATACTTCCACTAAGTGGCAAAGGCAGGAGCTGAATCTAAGAAGCCTGACTCCAGAGTATATTCTCGTTATCACCACTCAGGATACTTGATTAAATCTATATTTCAGACAAAGAAAGAAAGAAGAAGGAAAAAAGGAAAAAAGAAAATAAATAGTTTCCCTGAGAGAATAACTAAGCTAGAACTTTTTACATAAAAACATGGCCACAAACCTCAGCAAGTTGTCTTTGTAGCTCTGCTATCTTCTGTTCATATATCATTTTTCTGTCAGACACAATGGCCATTAAGTTAAATCGAATTTCACCTTCACTGTACCTAAAAAAAAATTAAAGTTTATAATGTAGTAAAGAAATGTAACACTATTACAATTAAGATAATCTATTGTGATTACCCCCTTATTCTCTGGGGTAAACACAGATCTACCAACTGGCTAACCATAAAAACTGACATTTTAAAAAATCTTTCCTAAACAGGAGAAGTTACAACCAGTATCACAAAAATACAAACAATCTTAAGAGAATACTATGAAAAATGATACACCAGCAAATTAAGCAACCTAGAAGAAATGGAAAATTTCCTAGAAACAGTCTTCCAAGACTGAATCAGGAAGAAACAGAAAATCTGAACAGGCTGATTATTAGTAATCTAATTGAATCAGTAAACAAAAAAATCCCAACAACCAGAACTCCAGGATCAGAGGACTGCACAGGGGAATTCTACCAAACATTTAAAGAGGAGTTAATGCCTTTATTTCTCAAACTATTCCAAAAAAGTGAAGAGGAGGGAATACTTCCAAACTCATTCTATGAGTCCAGCACTACCCTGATACAAAAACCAAAGACACTACAGAAAAAGAAAATTACAGACCAATATCCCTGATGAAAACAGAAAAAAATCCCCAATAAAATATTAGCAAACAGAATTCTACAATACATTAAAAGGATTGCACATAATGATCAAGCGGGATTTATTCCAGGGATGCAAAGATGGTTCAATATACACAAATCAATCAACGTTATAACTATATCAGCAAAACAATGGACAGAGATCACATGATCATCTTAATAGAGGCAGAAAAAGTATTTGACAAAATTCAACATCCATTCATGATAAAAACTCTTAACAAACTTGGTATAGACAGAACAATCTCAACATAATAAGGGTCATTTAAGCCAAACCCACAGCTAACATCATACTCAACAGTGAAAAGCTAAAAGCTTTTCCTTTAAGATCAGTAACAAGACAAGGATGCCCACTCTCACCACTTTTATTCAACATAGTATTAGAAGTCCTAGCCACAGTAATCATACGAAAAAAAATAAAAGAAATAAAAGGCATCCAAATTGGAAGGGAAAAAGTAAAACTCACTATTTGCAGATGACATGATATTAAATACAAAAAAATCCTAAAAATTCTACCAAAAAACTATTAGAATAAGTGAATTCACTAAAGTTATAGCATACAAAATCAAAATACAGAAATCTGTTGCATTTCTGTACACTAATAATGAACTATCAGAAAGAGAAATCAAGAAAACAATTCCATTTACAACGACATCAAAAAGAATAAAATACCTAGGAATAAAGTTAAACAAGGAGATGAAAGACCTGTACTCTGAAAACTGTAAGATACTGATGAAAGAAACTGAAGACAACACAAATAGAAAGATATACATGCTCATGGATTGGAAGAATTAATACTGTTAAAATGTCCATACCACCCAAAGCAACCTACAGATTCAATAATCCCTATTTTCACAAAACTAGAACAAATACTCCTAAAATTTGTATGAAACCACAAAAGACCCCAAATAGCTAAAGCAATCTTGGGAAAGAAAGAGCTGAAGGTATCATGCTCCCTGACTTCAATCTATACTATAAAGCCAAAATAATCAAAACAGTATGGTACTGGAACAAAAACACACACATAGATCAGTGGAACAGAATAGAGTCCAGAAATAAACCCACAAAACATACAGTCAATTAATCTACAACAAAGGAGGCAAGAATATACAATGGGGAAAAAGTCTCTTCATTAAGTGTTGTTGGCAAAACTGGACAGCTACATGTAAAAGAATGAAACTAAACCATTTTCTCACACCATATACAAAAATAAACTCAAAATGGATTACAGATTTAAATGTTAGACCTGAAACCATAAAACTCCTAGAAGAAACATAGGCAGTAGCTCTTTCACATTGGTCTTAGCAATAATTTTTGGATCTGTCCCCTCAAGCAAGGGAAACAAAATAAAAAATAAACAAATGGACTACATCAAACTAAAAAGCTTTTGCACAGCAAAGGAAAGCACCAACAAAATGAAAAGGCTGCCTATTGAATGGGAGAAGATATTTGCAAATGATATATCTGGTAACGGGTTAATATCCAAAATATATAAAGAGCTCACAATCCAGCAATTTCACTTCCAGGTATTTTTCCAAAGAAAACAAAAACACTAATTTGAAAAGATGTATGTGCCCCAATGTTCATAGCAGTATTATTTACAATAGCCAAGATATGAAAGCAACCTAAGTGTCCATTGACTGACGAATGGATAAAAAAGATGTTTTATACACACACAATGGAAGATTACTTAGCCATATAAAAGAAGGAAATCTTGCCATCTGCAACAACATGGATGAACCTAGAGGGTATTATGCTAAGTGAAATAAGTAAGACAGAAAAACAAATATTATATGATTTCACTATAAAAAACAAAACAAATACAACCAAATAGAAACAAACTCAAACAAATTCAGATATAGAGAACAAACTAGTAGTTGAGTGGGGAATTGGTAGGGTAGGTGAAATAGGTGAAGGGGATTAAGAGGTATAAACTACCATTTATAAAATAAATAAACAGGGATGTAACATTGAGCACAAGGAATATAGTCGATAATATTGTTATAACTTTGTATGATGCATAATCTATAAAAATATGTTGTACACCTAAAACTAATACAGTATTGGAAGTCAACTATACTTCAATATAAATTTATTTATTAATACTTTTGTCTACAGACAAATAAATAAGCTTTCATATATGAAAGGAAAAAATCAGCTAAATTTCCATCAATCACAAATACATTATTAAATGTTTTAGTACCTCCTAGACATTTGAAATAATGTTTTCATCAGTTCTCATACTTTGACAAAAAATATGGTAACTATCAATTACCTTTTATCTCAATTAGAAAAAATAATTAAAGACCTCACATTTGTTGAATTAATTTTACTGGCATCTTGATGGTATTAACTATATTCCTTACTATATAATTTTTTCCAAATCATGATTTTGTTTCTATTCTTAACTAATATATGTTTACATTTCACTTGTACTTTTATCATATACAAACATATAAATATTTATGTAATATGTTATAAATAATCTCTTGTAAAATTTCTGAATACTGTTTTATTTTCACTACTCTGATACCAATGAAACATCTTATAGTATAAGCTTGTTTATGGTAAGGATTGACATTGAAAAGATTATCCATAATATTTTCTAAGTGGCACTTAACCAGATGAAAACAGGTAGAAAATGTAAGCCTGTTTTTGCATTAGTTCACCTGCAAGAGCTTCTCATAAATAGTTCTATTCACTGGAAAGAATATGGCCCAGTATAACTATAGCACTTTGAACTATGTAAAAATGCTGTTTTTAAAACTCTGCTTATGGGACTTCGATTTCCCCATTCCTCCCAGTAAAAAATATCAAACAAAAAAAATCTAGACATATATTTTTTAAAAAATGAAAAAAATTAAAATTCTGAAGTGAAGGGAAGGCAGACATGCTAGGGAACCAGGACCCAAGAATGACAGTGGTGAAGTCTCTGGATTATCATTCTGCTGCATATGTCCTGGCCTTGGAGTTAAAGAAGCCATCAGTTGAGAAATGCCAACAGGCACAGACAAAAAAGCACCAACAATAGTCTGCTCTTTCTATCCAAGGAAAGGGGCAACCTCATGAGAAAATTTTGAGACAATAACCACTCTACCATACCCAAACACAACTGAAAAAACTGGCCCAAACCCTACCGGCCAGGAAAGGCTGGGTAGGGAGCCTGGACTCCAACCTCCACCAGGCTGTAACAGGCACCTGGGGTGGTGTCAGAAAAGGCTGTGTAAGGAGCTAGGACTTTCATCCCTGCAAACAGTAATGACATCTATTTGCAGTGTCAGAGGAAACCAACTGGGAAGCCAAATGCGAAGTCACTACCATCCAGGTGTAAAGAAGCCCCCCTCCCAACTTTGGTATCAGTGGAGCCATGTAGAGAGCAGTCGCAAGGCACTGCTACTCCTCCCGGCCAGGGTAGTATCAGGGGAAGCCCTACTGGGGACCAGAACTCCCAACCCCTGCCCAGCAGTAACAAGGAACCCTTTCCCACCTCAGGTGTCAATGAAGACAGAGTGGGGAACCTGGACTTCTACTTCCACCTGGCAGTAATGGGGTAGCATCCCTGATTTACCCTGCCAGAAGAGTGCCCATAAAAACCAGCTAAAAGAGAAGTTTTAAATAAGATCCAAAGTCTTATAATATAGTACTGAAAATGCCCAGGTTTCAATCAATAATCACTTGTCCTATTAAAAATCATGAAAACCTCAATTTGAATGAGAGACATTCAACAGACAGAGTGATGATAGATGTCCAAATTCACTGACAGAGACTTTAAAACAGCCATCATAAAAATGATCCAATGAACAATTATGAACACACTGGAAACAAAAAATAGAAAGTCTCGGGCTTCCCTGGTGGCGCAGTGGTTGAGAGTCCGCCTGCCGATGCAGGGGACATGGGTTCGTGCCCTGGTCCGGGAAGATCCCACATGCCGCGGAGCAGCTGGGCCCGTGAGCCATGGCCACTGAGCCTGCGCGTCCGGAGCCTGTGCTCCGCAACAGGAGAGGCCACAACAGTGAGAGGCCCGCGTACCGCAAAAAAAAAAAAAAAAAGTCTCAGCAAAGAAATAGAAGATATAAAGAAGAAACAAATGGAAATTTTACAACTGAAATATAAAATGATAAAAAAGCTGAATGGGTGAGTTCAACAGCAGAATGGAGGAGACAGAGGAAAGAATCAGTGAACTGAAAAGTAGAACAACAGAAATTACCCAACTGAACAAAGAAAACAGACTAAGAAAAACAAAGAGAGCCCCAGGGACCTGTGGGACTAAAGCAGGAGACATTTGTGTCATTGGAGTCCTGGAAGAGGTGAGAAAGGGTGAGACTGAAAAAGTTCTCCAAGTTGTAATGGCTAAAAACTTCCCATATTTGACAAGATATAAACGCACAGATTCAAGAAGCTGAGCAAAATCCAAATAGAATAAATAGACAGAAATCCACACCAAGACACATCATCCTCAAATATATGAAAACTAAAACCAAACCAAAAAAAAAAGAATTTGAAACCAACAACAGGAGAAACATCACCATATCTATAGGGCAAAAACTGTTTGAACAACAGTGGATTTATCAGTAGAAACCATGGAGGCCAGAAGGGAGCGACATAACAATTTTCAGGTGCTAAAAGAAAAGACTATCAACACGGAATTCTATACACAGTGAAAATAACCTTCAGAAATAAAAGGGAAATCAAGACATTCTTAGATGAAGAAAAACTAGGATTCTGTTGACAGCAGAACTACCCTAAAGGAATGGCTAAATGAAGTTTTCTAAACAGACAGGAAATGATAAAAGAATTGAGTTCTGGACCATGAAGAAGAAAGAACAATGGAAAAAGTAAAAATATGGGTAAATACATTTTCCTTCTCTTAAGTTTTTAAAATTATGCTTCATGGTTAAAACAAAAATTATAATACTGTCTGATGGAGTCCTAAATGTATGTAGAGGAATTATTTAAGACAATTATAACAATGGACAGTAAAAGTACACATAAAGGAAGATAAGATTTCTACACTTCATTCAAACTGGTAAAATGTTAACACCAGTAGATTGGGATAAATTAGAGAAACCATTAGAAAAGCCATACAAGGAAATAAACTCAAAACCACTATAGATGTCTGAGTAACTCACAGAAAAGCAGGAAAAGAAAAACAGAGAAACAAAAAAAAAAACAGAACAAAGAGAAAAAATTTAAATGGCAGATTTAAACCATAAGACATTAATAATTACATATTAAATATACATTTCATTTTATACATAATTTTATAAATACATTACATTCAATGTAAATGGTCTCAATCCATGCAGTAAGACAGAAAATGGCAGAGTGGACTAAAAAATATGATTCAATATATGCTGTCTATATGAAATTCACTTCAAATACAATGACATAGGTAGGTTGAAAGTAAAAAGATGGAAAAAATATATCATGCATATATGAATCAAGACAAAGCAGAAGTGGCTATATTACTGTGAAATAAAGTAAACTTCAGAGCAAAGAAAATTACTAGAGAGAAATATTGCATAATGATAAAAAGGTCAATCCACTAAGAAGAAATAGTGATCATAAATGTTTATGCAACGAACAAGAGACCTGCAGAATATGTAAGGGAAAAACTGATAAAACTTAAATTAGAAATTGCCAAATTCAAAACTGTGCCTATTTACAAACGACATGATCATCTATCAATATGTAGGAAATGTCAAGGAATTCACAAAACTTCTAAAGCTGGTGGGTGAGTTTAGCAAGGTTGAAGGATACAAGACAAAGAAAGAAAAATAATCGACTTTATTTCTACACACTAACAATGATCACATGGAACAAAAAAGAAAATATAGTATTTGTATCACTCAAAAGAATATGAAGTGCTTGGGTATAAATCTGACAAAATACATATGAAACTAGCATGTGGAAAACTACAAAATGCTGATGAAAAAAATTAAAGAAGATCCAAGTAAATGGACAGACATACCATGTTCATGGATTGGAAAAATCAATATAGTAAAAATGCCAATTCTCCTAAAATTGATCTTTGACACAATTCCTATCAAAATCCCAAAAAGAATTTTTGTAGATACAAGATTATACGAAAATTTACATAGAGGGCAGAGTATCTATAACAGCTAAAACAATTCTGAAGAAAAAGAATAAAGTCGGGGGCATCAGTCTACCTGATTTCAAGGCTTACAATATAGCCACAGTCATCAAGACTCTGTAGTACTTGCAGACAGCAGACAAATAGATCAATGGAACAGAACAGTGAACCAGAAATAGACCCACACAAATATGTCCCACTGGGTTTTTTTTTACAAGGGTGCAGCAGCAGTTCAGAGGAGGAAGGATAGCCTTTTTAACAAACGGTGATAGACCAATTGGACAGAGGAAAAAAAAAATGAACCTTGACTTAACTTCACACCACACAAAAATTAACTCAAAATAGATCATAAACTTATATGTAAAATGTTATATAAACCTTTTAGAAAAAAAGGAGAAAATCTTTGGGATCTAGGGCTAGGCAAAGAATTCTTAGATTGGACAACAAAAATACAACTCACAGTGGGAAAGACTGACAAATTGGACTTCACTGGAATTAAGAGCTTTTGCTCTGTGAAAAACCATGTTGGGAGGAGGAGAGGATGGGCTATAGACTGGGAAAGAATATTTTCAGGCAACGTGTCTGACAAAGGACTAGTGATAGCTAGAGTGTGTAAAGAACTTCAAGGCTCGGGGCTTCTCTGGTGGCGCAGTGGTTGGGAGTCCGCCTGCCGATGCAGGGGACACGGGTTCATGCCCTGGTCCGGGAAGATCCCACATGCCGCGGAGCGGCTGGGCCCATGAGCCATGGCCACTGAGCCTGCGTGTCCGGAGCCTGTGCTCCACAACGGGAGAGGCCAAAACAGTGAGAGGCCTGCGTACCGCAAAAAAAAAAAAAAAAAAAAAAAACTTCAAGGCTCAAGAGTCAAAAAAACAATCCAATTACAAAATAAAAGGCATGATTTTCAACATTAGTCACTAGGGAAATGCAGATTAAAACCACAATGAGATATTACTATCCACCTATCGTTTAAACAATGATAAAATAAAGGTTTAAAAATGAGAACATTAGTTATGCCAATAAGATTAGCTGAGCATTTACTTTTGTATCCTTTTTTCTATGACTGGCCTCACTGCGCTGATCCAATCATCTTGATTGCATGCACCTAGGAAGAAATGTAAAAGCATTTATGTCAAACAAAATCAACATTAATATTATTTTAAAAGTTTGGTCCAAAATATCCTTTTATTAATATTTTTACAAATTCAGGATAGTAAAAAACCTTTTAGCATAACTATGTTAAGCTCCAACTCTTACTTTCTTAGTAATGGTAAGGGGAAACAGTATTATCATAATTTGCATTTCCACGTTGTTGCGTCACTTAGCAGTGCTAAACAAATGTTTGAGAAAATAATGAACTAGGGAATTATTTCATTAAAACTCACGACTCTGTGAGATAAGGATAACTACCTTCATTTTACAGATGATGAGACAGAGGGCTAAGAAAAACCAGCTCACATATTAATAACAAAATAAGGATTCAGTCCTTTTCTGACTCCCCACCATCATAACTACAGAAAAAAAAAATGAAATCCACACACAATGCAAAACCAATTTTACCCAGTTTTTTAATCCTCTTTTTTACCTAAATTTTAGTATAGCCACCAGCTGTATAGCAAAACTGGCTGTTCTGTTTTATATTTTACTTCCTTTATATCTCATGAATCTAATGAAGAGAGAATGGCTGACCAGATAGAAGAGAAAAAAATGCAGCGATCAGATCAACCCCCAAACCAGAGAAAATCAGCTTCGACAGAATTAAAAGAACATCCCATTAATTTTCTTTAAGAAACATAGAAAAATAAATATTTTTAAACACGCAAATCTGCATTAGATGAAGTATTAGTTCTAGACATGGGCATGGTCAATAAGAACAAGCAAAATGAAAGTGTTAATTTTTTTTTTTAAATCTGAAAATATAAAGTTTTATGGACAGCAGATAACATTAGATTCCATTAAAACAGGTTACACTGCACTTAAACCTAATTTAAAAAAAAGAAAACTTAATGAGGTAAAAATAAGGAGTTAAAATTCTTTTGTGGGTCTATTAGTTCATTACTAGATCAGAACCACCTCAACCTCAATAACCATTTATCATTAGCTCAAGGTAGGAGATGGGGTGGGATCAGGACAAATCCACCCTTTGGCACAAAGGACAGCACATTAATGCACTAGTTACATAGAAAAAAGTAGTTTTTAAAAGTTAACTGAAAAATTAAAAATAAATTATGTAATCTATGGATTAAGAAAACTTTTCTTGTAGGAAAAAAACTAAAGGTCCCAATGCAACTACAGTAGTCAACATGTCCTAATTTCATAAAGTACTGAAGAGCTTAAAGCCTGCATGGCATCACACCTCACAGTCACCTCCCCTTTCTAAACTT